CTCACAACTTGACCGTTAACCGATGCCCATTCCCTCATCGATATTTTGTCGTCTGGCATCATCGATATAGCGGGTAGAGGTGCAGGAAACACGGAGTTTTTCAGTTCTAAACTATCGTCGGGTAGAGGATACCAGCTCGATGCACTTGTGTAGTAATCTGCACTCCACTGTATCAATGATTTTAGGCTCTCTTTAATTGAGGATGCAAATGATCTGGCATATTGAAGTTTGACAGCCTTGCTGATAATTTACTGTTGAGTGCAACTGCTCAATGTCGAGGGTCCTGCAGCTGAGTAAATTTATGTCATTGTATTCAGAAGTATCGAGATTTGCCTTCAATTTTTGCAGTCCCCATTCTAAAAGAAGAACAGATTCCAAAGTATTTCCAGAAATACTGCCCTCAGGCCCACTGAGCTTGTTTGGCATATTAATGTTACTACTTTTGATATTGTCAACATCTTTCTTTTGCCACGCCCTCTAGTTCTTCGGAAGCGCCTTTTTTGAGCAGTAATGGGGAGGGGGGTATTGAGGGGGCTTCATTTTTCGCCATTCTATTCAGTTTTTATCGAGAAAGAATATATAACAGTGCATAATCATGAAACAAATTAAACTGGTGTCCTTGGGCTGTGCAAATGATTGCAAAAGTGCACAGCACTGTTGACCAGGAATGCAGAGGAAGTAATGCAGGCGAACGAGCAAGCGGAACGTCGTAGTGTAACTGCTACCCCAATTATGTATCATTCTCGAGACAAAGTAACTCCGCTCTGACCGCTCCGATTGCAATTTGCAATAGTGAAACTCTAACTTAAGGGATATTATGCTCCTCCAGGACAATTCCAATCAATTCACAATGTGTCATAGTCACAAAAAAGCTTACCTGCTATTTGTGTAGGGTTGCCAATAAATGTAACATCGCTTAAAGCTTTACGGATTCGCTGTTATCTTATCTAGCATAGGAAAAGAAGCTTTTCAAAGAAAAAGCACATTGGGAGACAAGCTCTATGGCTTCTGCCAAGCACTTAACATCATACTTGCTATCTTTCTCTTGAATGGAAAATGCACTAACCAATTTTCCCGACTGTTCTCAAGGAAAGTGCAGTCTCCATCATTGTTGTGATTTGCCTGATGGATCCGGAACTAGAATCACAAATGTATCCAACATGATTGAACCCTACTGCGATACCACATGGCTCGTGAAACTGAGCGTAGAGTGCCGTTCCATCTCGTGTGCCTTCTTCTCCAGGCCCTGCAAATTTTTTAGAGCCATTTTCTTCCTTGAAAGGAATCCCGAAATCGGTAGTGAAGCCTTTTGATTCCATCAGTATCCATTTCTTTTCTCTTTATTGCAGATCTATCAACACAGCTCCCTTGTCGTACAAAACTGTCAGGTTTACTTTGATAACCATAACAGCACAAATATATTTCCATTTATCAGGATATTTCGAAAGTTTAGATCTGACTCCAATAAGCCCTAGTCCATCCCTCTGTATTCTCAATTCTTCGATAGTTTTTCTTGAACTGCAAGCAGCGAAGATGAGCTCTTCGTCGACATGCGTAAGGCAGGTGAAGGACATCTTCTCCTCACCACCAAAATTAATCTCTCTTGTATCCCACTTGTTTTCCTTGTATCTCTTTTCCAGCTGTTCCTGATGCTTCCTAATACGGTCTTTGCAAATAGCCAAAGTACATGAGACACTCAGCTTGAGATTGTCCAACACTGTTTTGTTTTCATTTATTCCAAGGAACGAACGCTAGCAACATCTTGCCTCGCAGGATTGCGGGCTTTAAATCCAAAAAACAAATTGGTGTATTGCCAGAAATGAAAATGATACCGTTAAAGTAGCAAATGCGAGTGCCTTTGATATCTCCTGAGATGAGCTCAATTACTTGGACTGGGCTGTAAAGCTTGGCTTTGTAGAGCTTTGAAGTTCCCTTTTCAGCATCATAGGACAGGAACAGCAGCCATCCTGCTCGTCCAGTTGCAATGCTTATAATGTGAGGAAATGCACCAACCCGGTTTGTTGCAGTAAACCCCACTGTTTCAGGAACAATGGTATGGCATATATACCAAAGGTTCGAAATATAGTCACACATCTTGAAATTGCAAAGTTTAAAAACGGCTGTTGGGTCTTGATGGTCACGGTTTCTCACGTAATCGTTCAGGGTAGATACTTCTTTATCACCTTTCAGACTTTAGGCTCTGCTCTGTTTCTCAATGTATATAGAAGATTAAGGTTCCCACATTCGCATCCCAGTTGTCGGGGCCAGTTTGAAAAGCTAGCTTTCAGGGTCTTCAACACATGTGGAGCGTCTGGTTAGACCGTCAGCAGGCTTAAGGCTGGACCTACACTTCCATTGACGACGTCTCTTTTGAAGGAAACCACGCACTTTTTGTTTCCTTCTTCGCAGTCAAGCGTTAACACAGTTACTACCCTACGAACACACTTAAGATCGGGCACCATGCAAAACTCACAGGGTTTTACAGATGGTATGTAATTGACATAGCCTATCTTTGCACAATCTTTAAAGACAGTTTTGCTCTCATTCACTTTGATATAGAAATAGAGTGAGCTGTGCTGCAGGCAAGATTAAATCTGACTCCCTTGACCTATTCTGACAGTTTTCGCACATTTGTAAGATGTTAATCTCCTCTATCAGCAGCTTTTTCATGTCTTCGCCTGTTTTTCCACTTTTTGGAGGATACCTGACCGAAACAGGCATGCTATATTTTTTATCAAGAGTTGAAATCGAACTTACCAAGGCCTCACAGACCAGCTCTTTTTGCAATGTGTCACTGTCTACAAAAGGCGTATCTCGTACAAACTGCATGTTAATTTCTGATGGAAGTCCTACATTCGACTTTGTCCTTTCATCAAATTGAATTGCAGGTTTTAAAGCAGTTCCATCGTTGCCTAATGCTACTGGAAATACGAGAAGTTTACTTGAGTGAATTCGGGGAGACGCTTTATTGGACGAATAGAGGACCCTCATAAAAAGCACCCTCGAGTGACTGACGCCATCCTCTGTAAATATTTGTATCATTATCATTATTATTATATTATTGGACTCACATCTTGTTGTAAGTTAGTAGTTAAGTAGACTTAGATATCGATGCACTCCAGATTTAATTGTATAGGCCGCCTGTTTCTTGCGCAGCGTCTCCTCTGATGGTCCACCAAGATGCATCTCTATCAAAATTTTCACAAGTGCACGAATTCACGAATTCCCGTGCATAAAAACTGAGTATTCACGTTCACGAGCGAACCTTCATTTACGAAATCACGCTATAAAATTTGCCGATTCACGTTTTCGCTGTCCAAAAAAGTCCAATCCAGCTTCAGGTAAAAGCTATTGGGGGGGGGGGGGGGCCTTCTAGATAAACCAGGCACTTTTGCAATTTTACACCAGCTAAGTTGCTATGTTTGCAATTTGCTATGTGTTCCGTAATGTAAACTGAAGTGACATCCTCTGGAAAGCAGTTCTCCAGACAAACATTTTTTAGTTGTTCAAGTTCAAGTATGATACGCTCCCTACCGGTTTGTGGGAAGTGGTTCCTGGTTCCCACGTGGAGGAGCGATGTTGGGCCGGAGCGGTACGGCTCATGTCAAATATGTACGGCTCCTGTCGAATTTTCAAAATCGATAAGCAAACAAAAAACCGTAGCCAATGCACAATATTAATGCATCAAAATGTTCCCCTATCTTTCAAGAATAATTCCCAACGTTTTTCGAACAGTTTTATCGCACGGGATTCCCTCTGTTCTAGCAACGAGCAAGTAACGTCAAAAACAGCAAGATTTCAACCAGAATAAAACCGTTTTTTATAAAAAATGTTGGATCCCCGTGCAAGTCAACCTTTTTAACAAGTTTATTTAAAAATATCAAGGTTTTGAGGGTTGGATTAATCACCCACCATGTTCGGGGTCGACACTTGGTTTCTGGCGGAGCTGGCTCCGTGTACGGCTCATGCAGGAATCGAAAATTCACGCTAACGGGTAAAGTTAAACCGTTTTTTAGCTCCGTGTACGGCTCACGCAAGAATCGAAAATTCACGCTAACGGGTGAAGTTAAACCGTTTTTTACAAAAAAAGGTTGGATCCCCGTGCAATTCAACCTTTTTAACAAGTTTATTTTAAAATATTAGGGTTTTGAGGGTTGAGTTAATCACCCACCATGTTCGGGGTAGACACTTGGTTTCAGGCGGTTTAGACAAACGCTGGAAATTATTCTTGAAAGATAGGGGAACATATTGTGCATTGGCTACGGTTTTTTGTTTGCTTATCTATTTTGAAAATTCGACAGGACCCGTACATATTTGACATGAGCCGTACAATTTTCATGAGCCGTATAGCTCAGGCCTACTATGGCTGACGCGGAGTGGAACTTAATCGGATATGGTCAAATGGACGGAGATTAAGCATCGGGAACCTGTCTTCAATTGATATTCGAACAGCTAGATACATTGTTGAAGTCAGCACACAATCATGTTTAGGTCTTTGGCCGCTTGCGTCGTAAAAAATCAGAGAGTCGAACAGCTACTAGCACATCAGTGGCTGCCACATGCAAAAAGTAGGCCATGCATCTCTTGTCTGTCACAGCAAAACTCAACGAAGGACGCCGATGTCCTCATCATAGGCGGAGGTGCTATGGGATCGTCTTCTGCATTTTTCATCAAATCTAAGTCGCCAGACTTGAATGTGGTAGTAGTCGAAAGAGACCCAAAGGTAAATTACCAGAGGATCGACATCACATCCTCGCACGGAACCCTCGACAAATGGTTTTTGCCCCATGTCTTTGTGCCGTGGGTTTAAACGCAAATCGCCGAAAGGTTTATGTTTTGCTTTTATTAGAACTGCAAATCGTCGGTGCTACAAATCATTAATTGACATCATATAATATTTGATTATTTATGATTTTGTCCCAAATGGCAAATGCTCAATTTTTGATAGATTCCAGCTGAGGGGAGGGGTGGGGGGGGGGGGGGGCTATTACAAAACGTGCCGTGGCGAAAAAGCGAACTAATTGCTTTCTTTTAAGGTGGGTTTCCCTTCAACAAGTTGATTTTCAAGGGGGCCTGCGATAAAAAAACATTAATTACAATATGATTTTAAAAAGGAAACAGCTATTAATCAAATAATCTCTAAAATCTTATTTACAGTATTTAAAACTTTGTGAAGAATAAAACGAAATATGAAAATATGAAAAACGAAAGCAAAATCAGCATTTCTCTAAATAGTTTTCTTGAAACTATACAGAAAGGTTGCTTGCTTTGACTCGGCTGACAGGCTATTCCCAGGGACGCCTGCACAAGATTAGGGCAGGTGGGGCAGTGTTGGTGCCAAGGGCAAATCGTTGAATTTTTCTATTAACATAATCGAGCATTCCTAGGTGGGAGGGGGCGAGGCTGGGGTAACATGATAAAATATTAACTAGAATATGTGCCACCCATACAGTTGGGGTTTTTACCATCAAAGATTCTAAACATAAAGAAAATGTTGACGAAATTATCCATGAATGAAAAAGGGTATTAAATGGCCTTTCACTATACACAATGTTTGGTTTTCTAAAAATCATGGCTGTTATAAATAGGCTGGATGTAAAATTTTGATTGCCCGCCAAGTTTTTATACCGATTTATTCTCCTTAGGTTTCTGGAGTACTTCGGAGGGAACACGTCTTTTGTTTATCATCTATTACCTTTGCCGTTCTCCCCCTTGTGGCCGACCTTGTCACAGACAAACTTTTCATTCTTTGCATTTTTGAGCTGGTGTTATCTTCTTTCTAGTATTTTCTAATAGATATTAACATAACGAGAGTAGTGAAAGTGGTCATCATATTTCAGGGCACTTTTTGCCCCCTCTGCCCCTCTTCGAAGAGGGCAGGAGGGGCAGCTGCCCCTCTAGCCCCGCTTGTGTAGGCGCCCCTGGCTATTCCATAGTTTAGCACCTTTATAAGAGAATCTTTTCTGGCCATTGGATTGTTAATCTTTTAGCACCTTTTAATTGTTAATCTGTAATATGGCGAGTATTACGAAGGCTATATGGTGGGCAAAACTAATTTTGGGTGAAGAGGTCTTACAGGTATTGTGGAGCTAGCTCATTCAGGGACTTGAAGACTATTGTCTTAGATTCACCAGTGATCAGTTACTCAACAGTCTTCCAACCCAGCCCATCAATAAAAGGTCTCATAAGAAAAGGTAAACATAATTAGAATTAGCCGTAGCTGTTGCCTTGGCCCAAATTTAATTCAACATCTATTGCTTGCATATTTTCAGGAAACACATCTGCATCCTAAAAGCCAATTTACTCCAAAAGATGCACCTTATGCTGAATTGGCAATCTGCAGAAAAATCATTGCTAGATCTGTAGAAAGTATGTAGAATTAGGGGTGAGGCTGTAAAGCCAGAAACCTATAATAGCCCCCCTTTATGTTGCAGCAAAAATTCTTTTACTGGGATAATTGTCACCCTGGGGTTTTTCATGTCATACTAAGCTTATAAAGACAAGCTGGATTTTTTGTTCATTAAAACAAGCACACAACCCAAAACAAAAAAGTCCAAAAGAACAAAGCAGGTCTCTCATTCCTGGGAGCAGCCTACTAATAGTTAGTGTGATTAATGTTAACTTACTGTTCTACTTACTTGATTTGGGCTGTAGATTATGCAATCATATAAAAATGATGTATCATGCTTGCCTGAAGACTTGGTAAAATTCATTAAAATCCTGGATGTCGCATTCACATATGGACATGGTATTCACATATCTAGAGGATAACGTGTTGCATATAGAATTTGGCTGAAACTTGGTGTAGCCACCATCAAGGTCCTATGATAGAAAACCGCCCCCCTCCCTCATAATGCTATGCCCCTTGAAATTCAAGTTAAAATTCATTTAATTTGTATATCTGTGAATATTGCATTGCATCATTCTTCTATGTTTTCTCCGTTAAGTGCAATCCATTTTGTAATTTTTTGAGAATTTAAGTTGCATTTTATTGTACAAAAAAACATTTATCACCAAAGTTTTTGAGGCATATGAGTAAAAATATATTTTTGGCATTTTTGAGTCCTATGGGCTAAAAATTACAAGAGATTCATAATTGTTCAAAAACTGCTTGATAGAAATCTTTATGGAATTTATTTCTAGTACACCCAAGCTGCCACAACACTGTCAGTATCATCAATTCGACAACAGTTTTCAATCAAAGAAAATATTCATCTGTCAATGTGGAGCTACCAGTTTCTGTCATCAATTGGAAAACATCTTAGAATCTCAGATGATGACATGCCAGATGTGCAGCTTCAAAATGGTGCATACTTGTTCTTGGCTTCAGAGACTGGGGACAGTGTGCTGTGTGAAAATGTTGGGCTTCAAAGGTGGTTTTGACATACTATGTTTTTGTTGTTGTGTCTAGCAAGCTCAGTTTTCCTAAATTTTGAACTGCTTTGTCAAATTTGTTTTATCAAAGTGATAATTTCTACTTTTTTTGTTCATCAAAACAACCTTATTCTACTTTTTCTCATACTTTGTTAGTTTTAAAATTTTATTAAGGAGCAACATCAAGTATATGCAAAACAAAGAAAAAATATACAAATCAAAGAAAAGGAAGAATATGCAGACCTGGGGCATATAACCAATTCCTGAAATACATAGAATATTTTAGAAGATTGTATTCCTATGTTTGATTAGAATATATATTACTTTCACTCTGATATTATTTAACAAAGTTTAATTTTTGATTATAGGTCTGTTGGGGCTCAAGTTGAGTTACTAAACCCAAAAGAATTGAAAACAATGTTCCCTTGGATAAACCCAGACGGAGTTTACTCTGCTTCAGTAGGTATGGCTATTCTGTGAAAGTTGATAGCTAGTTTTGAAAATTACTTTTGGTACAGTAAAGTTCAAGTGAGATGTATTCCCAATATCTATGCTAAAAAGCAATAAATGCAAAGAAGATAACGAAACCAGCAGCAAGCGCAGTGGTGACCGACAAAGTAAATGACAGACGAAGACGACAAAGAGTGAAGACAATTCTTTGGGATATCAGGGACACAGTCGATAGTTCTTGCATTTGACTTTTGGAAACCAAGTAAAATTTTTTGCTTTTGAAAATCAAGTAAAAATGAATCCATTGTTCTATGGTTGTTCTATTAGTTCCAAACTCATTCCCTGGTTGTTCTGCTAGTTCCGTTGTCATTCCTCGGTCGTTCTGCTTAGTTCGCACGCATTCCACTAATCCCTAGTTTTAGCAGTATCAAATTTTTAGCACCCTGCTTCAAAGTGCTCTGTGCTTTAAAAAAGAAAGGTAGCAAGCTGTACACACTTAAGGTACAAAACAGGATGGCCCAAACCTAATCTTTAATGTTTCAAATACTTAATATATTCATCTGATAACAAGACTCTTAATATGTATGTAGATACAACTATTTTTCTTTATTGTAGGAAAAGCAAACGAGGGTTGGTTTGATCCATGGTCACTATTAAACAGTTTGAGGAGAAAGTCAATTGCTTTGGGTGTGAAATATATCAATGCTGATGCTGTTAATATAGCTAAGGGTGATGATGGTATGGTTGCAGGTGCCCATGTAAGTAGTTAAAACTTTATGAAAACCTCAACCCAGGGCTTGCATGGAGAAGCGCTCAATCAAGCACCTCTGCAGGCACCTTTGAAATTTATAGGAGTTTTATTGATGATATTTGGTGATACTCAATTGAGCACCTGGAAAGTTGAAGGTGCTCAGTTTGTCAAACACCTGCTTTTTGCTCCTCACAAGGCCATCATTATAATTCACAATCCATCAAAGGGGCATTATGAATTGCTGCCTCTGACATTCCATGGCACAATTGAATTTGATTGTACTATAGGCATCAAGTGAGATTGTCTCCATTGACCTTTTTGTGCAAGAAAACTTTCAATGCCTGAATTGTTTGAAAAGAATTAAAAAGGGGCTGTACACATGATCCAACCTAGCCAGGATATGTTGTCTTTCCCAAGATGCTCTGCGAACCAGAAGATATTTTTCAACTTGTATTACCAAAAGAAGTCACTGATGCAAAAAGGTAATTTTTGATGCCCCATTTATGGCTATTTGCAATTAAGAAAAATAATTATATCCTGGCTCAGCTTGTCCTACAAATATTTGTTTCCTCTCCTCAAGTATTTTTATATTAGCCTGCTAGTATTTTAATTTTAAACAGGCAAACAAAATATGAACTGATAGAATTGAAGTAAAGATTAAATGTTGATATGAAATGAAGATGAAATGTAGAAGAAACCAATTTTGTCTTTATCCTAGTCAACGGGATAGCTGATGGAAAGTCTGGTAAAGCTAATTCAATAACGTCAAAGCCATCTTGATCTAATTAAATCAATGCTAGGGATAAAGTGATAAATCGCCAATACAAGGTCCTTTTACTTGAATGTACCTGTCTATGTCATTCCTCAGCCTTCACAAATACCTAAACTTGATATAAGTAAATGTTTCTTTTTCCCAATGAAAATGGTCTGATTTGTGATCCATGACATTCTCAATCGATTCACTCTGATGATTTGAAAGTAAAATCAGCCTCAAACCACGATTTAGATTTGAGTTTCCTTAAGTCATTCCAAGCAAACCCTGAAATGCTCTCTTCCTCCCCCCCCCCCCCCACTGTTACATAATGTTACATATGTTTTTTTAGTTGTCTTTTTTTTAAAACCAACTCAGGGGATAGCCAAAACTCAACAGTCTTAAGTTCTATGGAAATATTTTTAATTTCAAAATCTTTTTGTCTCCTTACATATTGCTAAGTAGGGTGGTAACTTTTATTTTCTCTCTTTATAACAGTTACAGGACCCAAGCAATCCAGAATTAAAAACCTACATATCCTGCAATAAACTGGTAAATGCAGCAGGGCCTTGGGCTGGATATCTAGTGCAATCTATTGGTATTGATTTGCCTGTCAGGCCCCGAAAGAGACATGTTTTTACATTTAGCTGCCCCAAAGGACCTAAAGACATGGTGTTGGCTGTTGATCCTTCAGGATGCTGGTTCAGAAAAGAAGGCAAAGGAGATCTCTATCTTTGTGGGAAAGCCCCAGATGAGGTGATCAACTGGCTAATTACAGATACAATTACAATCTACAACAGAAATTGTCTTATTATATTCAAATGCATGTTGAATAACTGTTTGAATGCTAGAAAGACCACTATCTCCAGCCATAGTATGTTCAAACTTACAGGCATAACATGAAATGAGTTTCTAGTGCTTGCAACAAATATCATTCCTCCTTATTAAATTCCTTATGTTAATGCCCTAATATACAGAAACCAAGCAGCCAAAGCTAAACAAAAATGGGAAGAAAAGAGCCTATAAAAACAGAGTTACTGAAGTGAAAATGGAACTAAAGCCCCATTAGAGATAAGCATAAACGAAGGAATAAAAAAAGATATGGGAGAGCTAACCAAAAAAATGAACAAAAATCAAACTAAAAGACCTATTCAGTCACTGTATTCACAACAAAACTGTTATATTGCCATTTAATTCAATAAAGCAATTGAGTTGAGACCTTTGAGCATCACGGGACAAAGCAGGCATTTTTTAAATCACTTTTGAATATCTTTTAGGGGCTCTAGTATTGAGTTTAATGATGAAAAATCAAGGATTTCCTGAGTGATTCATTTTAAATTTTCATTCTATGTAATTATTTTAAAAAATGGGATAACATAAAAGATTGATATCTAGCAATTATTCTTTATGACAATTTTGCTATTTTTTAATCTTATAAAGATCTATAGCAATCATTTATAAAACTGCAAGTTATTGTTTTTTTATTTAAGGATCAAACCCCTAATACGATGAATCATCCTGCACAAAAGAAATATTTTAATATCTCTTTTGTCCAACATATAAATCATCATGTTTGCCAAAACCCAGGGCAAATTATCATAGAAAATTCTAAAATCATGGCTATTTTCCCAAATTTTCTCAAATATTAAACTCATGGCTATTGCATTGGCAGCTTTAGAAAGAACCTTGCATATATTGCAAAACCAATAGCTAAAAGAAACTTTTCAAGAGGACATACAAAATAACCATTTTCTGTCAGATTTAATCTTTCAATTTTACTTATTATGTTGTATATGGCTGGTCAGCTCTTTAACAAATGTAGCAGTTTCACATTTCAAGTTCAAAACTACATGATATGATCTTTTTCAGGACAATGACCCAGATGCCTCTGACCTCACTGTAGATTATGACTATTTTCAAGAGGAAATATGGCCATGCCTTGCAGAAAGGGTTCCAGCCTTTGAGGAACTTAAGGTATTCTCTACTGTTAGTATTGTAGCAGGCTGATGTATGTTGACATGTTTGTTTAGGGTGGCAGACAGGGTGACCAAGACATCCCTGGGACAAAAGCAAAAGACAAGGCCCCTTGCTATCAAAGTGACCAGAAAATCTTTGCAACCATGCCCTCTAGAGTAGCTTAAATTCATTCATTCACGCAAAATTATTTACTTTTCTAAGTATAATTTTGTCTATAGCTTTTAAAAAGCAAACATTTTACAACATACTAAAAACTTTTTTATCTGACACTCCTCAGAGTATAAAACATCAGAATAAAGGTCCGAAAGAATACGATGGAAAATATACGATGGTATAGGGGGAGGCCCCCTAGACCTTGAGGCCCTGGGGCAATTTTCCTTCCTTGCCCCTGGTTGCAAATGCTGCCTCTTCCTCCACTTGTTAGTTCAAAAAGTGAGTTCCACTTGTTAATAAATTGCCAGTCAAGAGGCTAAATTTGTGTTGAGGCCCCCACTTTATAGAAATACAGCAATTGCATTTAAAGCCTGTTTTTATAAAGCAATTCTAACTTTGTGGACTAATCTTTTAGTTTGAAATGGGATTGAGGTCCAGAAGTTTAGTCTTCTGCAAGCTTTCATGTTGCTAGTACTCATGATATTGATTTTATGACAACATAAAATTAGAATTTTTATCATGAATTTCACTATGCTTAGAAATTAAAGGTGAAAAGTTCACCCAGAAAGACTTTCAAACTTTATATCATCATACAATCTAAAATGTATAAAAATTGTGTTTGCATTGAAAATATGTTGGGAAATTCTATCTGAGCTTAAAAGTTGTACAATGAAGTTTGGAATAATTCCTAAAATGTTAGCATATTGGTAAATTAGTCATTAATTCTATTATCAAATATTGTGTAATTGAGTTAACTGTAATGTAGTTATTGGAGGCACTTTTATATCAAGAATTCAAAATAAACCAAACTGTACTGAACAAAATTGAACAAATAGTAACTGGTTGTTCTTTGACAATATATAAAATATAAAATTTATATTTCTAAACAGCTGCAGCACTCATGGGCTGGCTTCTATGACTACAATACATTTGATCAAAATGCAATCATTGGTGTTCACCCAGATATACACAATTTGTATTTTGTAAATGGCTTCAGTGGACATGGAATTCAACAGTCACCAGCTGTTGGTAATGCAATCAGTGAACTTCTCATCGATGGCAAATACTCTACAACAGACTTAACCAGGTTTGGTTTTGATAGAATTCGTGACTGTACCCCGCTGCGTGAAAAGAACATAGTGTGAGATAGGATTATTCAGATGTTTTGTCTTGAGCCAGTTGTGGAGAGGCAATGAAAAAATTCTTTTTGGAGCCAGAAAGCTGATTACCAAAGTGCCACATGTATATCAACAAGATTCTTCAGACTCCTTTCATAAGGAGGCAAACCATTTAAGAAGGCAGTGAATCCCCTTTGGGTCTTTATATAACTTATAAGTTGTATTCTTTATGCAACTTGCAAGTTGGAAGCAAAATGCCTTCATTTTTCCATCTTTTAAAGAATGCTAATAGATATAATTGGAAGTGCTTGGTGTGATAGCCAGGGCAGATGTATGTTTCTACTCCAAGTTTCCAGTTTCATGTTGGATTGGCTGGAAAACAATCAAAACCAGATGTGATGCTCTTCATGCAACAAATACTTTATGATGGCAAGCCTCCATAGGGAATTGGGTACTCAAATATATTTAAGATAGGTGTGCTGAGGCGTAGTAAAAACCATCAACCCAAAAATAATTTCTAGAAAAAATTTACCCAACAAGTAATTTTTCTTGCCATTCACTACAAATTCTAGACCAAAAAAGTAACCTGAGCATCCAAATCCTAAAAATATATGAGTACACCCCCTGGGGCTAGTAGCCCTTTATACCATTAGTGGAATGTAGTGCTTTTGACTTACCAACTTTGTTATTGAATTATTAGGAAGTTTTGCTGTCTGCTTTGTTAATGTTTACATGTTTCCAAGATTCAAGTGACCCCTTCACATTTTTAACCAGCAAACATTGTTTATGTGTACAATCATTGGAAAAGATTACAAAATGCTATGAGAAGCTTCAGTTTAAGGAGTTTTGTAAATTATCTAAAAAAAATTCCGGTTTAATCTTTCCCAACCAATATTAAAAATAAATGGAATCTGCAGTCTTGAGGCTCCAAAATTAAATTATATCTTAAATTTGTGGTTTTAATTAACAACAAAAGAGATTGAAACTTGCTAGCAATGTTTCATAGTGAGACAAAAAAGGCAATCAGTTGATTTTGTAAAAAAACCATATGAAAATCTAAGTTTAACAATAATTTACTCAGTTTAGTTATACAAAGTCAATAGATTATTACTACATTCTATTTTGCATTTTAACATGATGATGGATGATTGATTTGTCTTTTTTAACAATTCTGAACATGCTTTCTGGCAGAAACACAAGCTACCATAAATTATTGAAATTTAGAGACTGAAAAATTCATAACATAGAACACACAACGCAAAATGCAGTAAAACTACTTCCTATATGCAAATTGAACTTGTTCAAAACATACTTTCTGTATAAAAGCTTCAAGCAACTTCTGAGAAAGTTTTAAGAGCTTTCTTTCACAACTGAAGCAAACATCAAGTATTTATTTCAGTGGATGTTTTAATTGAAGTTGGATATACACATGTGGTTCTTCTATGCATTATCTAGGTTTTACAGTTTCAACAACTTCTAGATTGACATTATTTCAAAGCACCAAATGGTGGAGAAACATCTGGAATGCTAGGGTTGGTTCCCGTAAACATCTTTCACTATATTTAGTGACATTGAGAATTTTTCACTTCATTCCATTTTCCACATTTTGAACTGTTCACATCCACTTAAAGTCTAGGTCACAGGTTTGATAAGTTTTGAGGATAAGATTGATAGGTTTTGCAAGCTTTAAGGCCCAAATAATTTTGTTCAGGCTTGATATGACGTGCACGCTCTAGAATCTAGCACCCCCATTTTGCAATGCCATATTTCAATATCTCAATAAGCTTGATATGTTTAAAACAACCAGAAGTTATGGTAGGAAATTCATTTCTGACAACAGGAAATTGGCTCAAAATGAAAAATTATGTCGACTCAAACATTATTATTCCTTGGCATCAACTATAAATTGAAAGAGAACTCTTTGATCAATGAACTTAACAATTTTTGCCAGTGATATAATTTGTTATTTCCAGTTTGCGTTTAAGCTGACTGATAACTCATTAAGATAAACACACTGAAGAGCAAACAGAACCACTTGAAGCTGGGATCAGGACCAAGGATGATACTTTCCACTTAAACCCTAGTGTTATCAAGCAATTTAGTAACTAAAACCTTCTGTATCAAAGGTAAGAAAACTTCTTAAAATGTGCTTGCATCTTGAACAAGTGGAAAACATTGAATTCTTACAGAACATTTCTAAACTACTTCTAAACATGCATGTGAAATCCAGGTACAAAACTTAAAATATAAATATCTACGTTTACAGTTACTAAAATAACTCAAGTACCAAAACTCTGATATATCATATCCTGCAAGGATATTATTTGTACAATCCCTTTACAAACCTCTAGCAGAGGGGTGGAGGGAGCCCCTGGCTATATATCTATACCACCAGAATTCCAGTTTATTTTACAAATTTTAGATTTTTTGAAGATTTTAAACCCAGCAGATTCAAACCTTTTATTGGTGAATAGGCCATGGTGTTTAGCAGAGGATGACACCAAACAGTTTCCATACTGGTTTAAGAGAAATTTTCTGAGAGTATGATGGTACTATGAATTATTGCTAGGAGATACAAATGTGGCTCATAACAGCATCTTAAAATACAATAAAGGCAGAACCTGAAGGCTGACAATAACTTTAATATTGCTCTACTGAAAAATTGTCAGTCAGCCTGCAGTTGCCATCTACCAAAAATATACTTCTCTTATGGCTTTATGTACTATTCAGCCTATGCTGTAACATGAGCTAAAATGACCCTCAGCACCTTATGCTTTTTGTGCCTTTACAGTGATAATTTATCATCTGGATGTTAAACGCATCATCTCCAACAGTGTAGATTAGTTAAGCCAAAATTGTATGAAAGACACCTCTAAATAAACTAAAAAAAACACCATTGTAGATAGGTTACTGGCTATAATAATGAATAGGGTTATGGAATGGGTAACTGATGGATTGCAGAAAACAGACTAAAACATCCAGTGATTCTTAGCAAGTTTGACCTATCCATTGATGACAGTAAAATATTCCTGCATAAGGGCTTGGAATATCATTCTGTGTGAAGACCTTCCATTTTGCTTAGTGATGTCAAGCAGGTCACAAATACAACTTCAATGAGACATGGTGGTACAACTGTCTCTAAGACATGCGATAGGGACTGCGGACCTATGGCAAGTCAGCTTTTTCATGTGAGGTTTGTTAGGGCCAAAACTTCAGAACGGATGCATCATCTGCATAAGACTGGATATTGCCTCGTCCCTCTAATACGACCATGGCTGAACTTCCGAATCTGATGAACTCAAATGAGGTTCAAGCAGTGTTGCGCAGTCTTCACGTCGCATCCTTTTGAACAATTGATAAAGCTGCTGGACTGAGCATCTCATTTGTGAGCTGCAGTCGCATAGTAGTTGTAAAGTTGGAGAATCACCAGGACGATTAAAGTTTTCAATTTCAATCTGTGTGTATTTCAACAAACCTGCAAGACTTTTCCAATTCTTCCCAAAATAAATTTTTGGGTCTAGCAATTTTGCTAACTCTTCAAAAACATCATATGGAAGTTTTCTAATATCCAGCCCTTTATCTATAAGGACAAATAATTTCTGTCAAGGATCTGGCATTCAGTTTCATAAAATCTAGTAACAATATGAACATATAAGACAAGTTTAAACATGACAGACATCTCTAAGTAGATACACTAACAAGAATAGATGCAAAAATTCTAAATATACAAAGCAAAGTAAATCAAACCAATCAGGAACATGGAGGTTGGTTATCAACTCTCTGTAAAGAATTTCATGACCCTATTTTGATTAAACACATTTGCTCTTTTGCATTTTCATTTTCAGAAAAAGTTATTTTGAAGAATAAGCTCAAAGTCTGCCAAAACTACTTCAAACAGGGTTATAAAGAATCAAGCCCATATACTATTACTCATAAGTTAGTCTGAGCATTAGATAACCAAACAAAGGCCAACATGCTTAGAGTAATTGATTGCAATAACAGACTGTGTAATGCAATAATATGAAGATATTGTCTTTCTATGGGCATTCATGAGGAACTACAGCCTGAATATGTAGTTACTGGTTGGAATGAAAAAAGGAAACCTCGAAAATGGAAGGCCAAAGACAAGGCTGTGTCACAACAGGGGTGGGTTGACTATGTTAGAGGCTGAGAGAAGGCCCAGGATTGAGAAAAGCAGGTAACAGTTGCTTCATAAGCAGTCTGGTTATGATCATAATTGCCTTTAAGTCAACCTGGTACATTGAACAATCAATCAAAACAAAATTGTTTAGGTATCTTTGTGAATTTTCAGAATATCATTGGCTGATTCGGGTTGAAATTATAATTTTCTTACTAAAGGTAGCAGGGTGTTATTTTGTTTGAACTTGGTTAAAAAAGGCAAAAAAACAAGGATTCAAAAAATTACCTAAAGATAAATCTTTAGCTTGATTTTCTATACGTAAAGGTTCTTGTTCCTCTGATGATTGTGAAGGACCACCTAAATAAAAGGTGCTGTAGTTTACATTCAAACTGTAGATTTGAAAATATCAAACTGTAGATTTGAATTTCAATTTTGATTTACTTCAATTTACTTGAAAATTTGATTTAAATGAATGTGTAGAGGCACTAAAGAGTCACAAATAAGGAAATCAATTTTTCATTATATTTTTTTAACTTTTATAACTTGCGAATACTTTTAGTGTGGCGAATTATAAATAAATACATACATACTCAGACATAATTCAAACAAGTCGCACAGAAAGAAATCTTATTCACACAAAATTAAAGCAAGTCACAGAAAAGAAAACTGATTTGCGCAAAATTCAAGCAAGTTGCACAAAAAGAAAAGAGACTCGCACCAAATTGAAACTCGACACACATTTTCAGTTTTAGTCCCATGAAATAAAACATATCGCACATAAAGCAGAATGTGTCACACTATTAGAAAAAAGGTCGCCCTTTGAGTCACATATTGGAAAATAAAGTCGGTTTCTTATTGATGTTTGGTGTTTAGTCTCGGCTACAATGTTTTGCTCAAACTGCAGAAACATTTTGTTGTCACAAAAAACACTTCAGATGCAGAAATTTTGTGCTGAATTTTTGGAAAATCAACTTTTTGTAAAATCATTTTTCCTAACAGGTGCTTTTTTACAAGAATGAAAATCTAAATCAATTTGATCAAAGGGCTAACCTCCCTAAACATTTGAAATGAAATGAAATAAAATGAAACTTGCATCACAGTTGTCATTAATATTTCATTTTTTTTTAGTGTGACCGCTTTCCTAATTGTGCGACTCATTTTGCTTTATATATGCAATTTGTTTTTCATGTGCGCTTGAGATTGAAAATCTGTTACGAGTTAAATTTTTGTGTGAATCAGTATTCTTCTTGTGTGAGTCCTTTTTAGTTTGTATGACTCGCTTGATTTTAGTGCAAGTCGTTTTTGTTCCCGCTCGAATTGCTTTGTTTTAATGTGAATCAGTTTCGTTTGTATGCGAATCAGTTTAGTTTTAGTGTGTGGCAGTTATGGGCCACCGTAGAAATCCCCTATTTATAACGCCATTTGATAACCACATAGACGTCTAAGACCTCTTTCTCTTTGTTTACTAACACCCTGATATTTAGCAGTAAGTAGGACAAACATTGACAAGCTAAACTGCACAGATTAAATGAGAACGTTGGTTTGAAAAACTGTGCGGGCAGAGAAAAGCCCTCATATATCAATTTTTCTGGAAAGTCTCCTGGAAAGGCCTGCATAAGCATTCTGTTTATGATTATAATTACTTTTTAGTCAACCTGGTGCATTGAATTTAATCATAATCAAATTTCTTAGGTATCTTTGTGATTCTTCAAATAAATCATTGGATGATTTTGGTTGACATGCTGATTCTCTTTAAAAGTAGCAAGGTTTTTTTTGTTTGACACTGGTTAAAAAACAGCAGAAAGAAGAATTTAAAAATTTACCTGAAGATGAATCTTTAGCTGGAATAACTATACGTAAAGGTGTTTGTTCCTCTGATGATGGTGAAGGACCACCTGTTGATGAAGATGGTGTTGGTTTTCGTTCACTCTCTCCATTACTTGCTGATGCTGTGTAAAGTTGGAGAAAATATTAAATAATTTTAAAAAGGTATTATTGCACCAAAGTGTAATCAGAACCAGTATGCTTTTCTTTCCACTTTATGTTTTATAAACACTGATATGAAAATCATTGTTTCTGTAGGCCTTTGAAGGAATTTCTAGGGCGGCAGATTGTTCCAGTGGTTAATTATACGACAGCAAACATTATTTCAACCATTTAAACAAAATAAAGATTTGCTTATGGCCCTTAGGAGCATTCAAGGGCAAGTCAGCACTGCTCATAACTCCCCTACCTCAATTTCTTTTTCAATATATTTTCAAAAAACATTTGTTTTGTAAGGTACAGATCACATTCAACCTCTTACATTCAAAAATCAGTGGACAACTGACATAACTAAACAATTTAACATATTTGAACCAGCAGATAATGACATTAGATAGTGTTCTTACAACTTAAGTTTTTTGTGACTTGCTAGTTTGTAAAGGTTTAAGATTTTATCAAAGATTGTTTCTGTGTTACATTCCCCCCACCCAATTCCAGAGATCATGGGGGAGCAAAGAGCTTCTAAAAGTAACAGAGCCAATAAATATTTACTGAAGTTGAGATCCCAGAGTGTTTCCAGTTTACCAAAAATAGATGTGATAATCATCCAATCTTAAAGACCCTTAGATAAGTTGTCACCACAGCACATGTTGTCATGCCTGAATTGCAGTTCACTGAATGTTATTTGTAGAACCAGCTTTTCAAATCAGCTTTAATAGCCAAAAATGGAAATCCAAGCAGAAATTTAAATGACATCAGTTTGTAGAGGTACAGTTGAAAAAGAATTTTGTTTTTGATTGCATCACAGAAAATGAATCTTTTGACATGTATGACACGGCCCAACTCAAATGCAATTTTATACATATTTTGGAGCTTATCTAGTTATATCAAGCATCTAGGGGAATACCTAGAATCATCATGGCATTTTGCTGAAAATGTTTTGTATTTTGAAGATTCTTCTAACCAAACAATCTTCATAGAATACCTGTGTCTTGCTGGCATGACCAGGTTTGAAACATGCCTGTGCATTTCCCACAAAAAAGCCAGAGTCAACTCAAGCTGATCTTTTTTTTAAACTGGTGGTTTTAATTTATCTGCTATAAATAATGGTTGCCAAGACCATACCACATGGAACTATAGTGGTCCTAATTAGATCAAATAACACTCAGCATACTAAATCAAAACAACCTTAGTAGTATGACTATTACCATGGCTCAATGTATCTAAATACAATACTTGTTAGATTATAGCACTCAATTTTGCTGCAAATGTTTTATCTCTCTGCAAATTTTGTGTTTCACTTGGCCTTTTCAATTTCAAATAAGTACTTACAGCTTTGCACCGTCTTAATTTTTGACACACAGACTTTAGATATCCTTAAACAATAGGATTTCAATCACCATCCTAAAAATCTAGATCCAAGCCGTCATGCAATAAGTATAGGTTCTTCAATTATATCCACACAGAAATTCTATGGTTTAGATTAAGGTAAACTGAAAAAAATAAAAAAACAATTACCATCTCTAGACCAGCAATGAGGTCGCATTTTCCTTGACAAGGCACATGCAATTAGTGAAACTATTAAAATAACCAGTGTAACAGCAACCAAGACTATTACAAGTGTCATTGACCTTTCAGGTTGCCTTGCAACTAGAACAAAAAGTTGAATTGCTTTGAGAAAATTCTAAAGATAGTTAAGACTAAAATTAGTTTTGCTCATAATCAGTATTGGCATACCATGACTTGTACCCAGGGCCGTAAATCTGTCATGTGAATTGGGGGGTCAGCAGAGCGAATGAATATAAAGTATGCAGTGGGTCATGGCACCACAAGGGATTTGTGGTATGTGTTATGGAAACAGTTGAGGGGCAAATTACTTTAAAAACAAAAGTCAATATTTTTGGATTTCTCAAGACTTTCTGCTCTATAGAAGGTATTTACAGATATTCCTTAGTACATTGACTTGTGTGTATGATTGTATGGATAACATTTTTTGAATGAAATTGGATGAAATTTTACCTTCTAGAAAGGCTAAAGAAGCATCCCCCAGACTAAATTTAATAAAATACTAGAATCGCTCAGGATAGAAAGTTTGACGTTTCTCAGGCCATTTTAGGCCATTGTCACACATTGTGTAGGCTATTTTTACACATCAAAAATGAATAGATTTTAATGATACAAAAAGTGATTTATTAAATAAAAGTAAATAATAGACAAATTATAGAAATTTACGTAAATAAGTTAGTAATTAGGTCAAATAAAATGACAGATTGCTCTCTTTCTATTTCATACTCTGTTTTCAAAAATAAAACGGTAGAAAACAGTGAAAAACGGTAGAAAACGGTAAGTTTTTATCTTGTAAAAATTATAAAAACCACTCTGCTTACAAAAATAGCCTTAGTGGCTGAGGTTTGTTGCAATAACACAGAAAACGTAGTTTGGTTCTAACCCGGCTACCAGGGATTTCCTTCTTTCAAGGAAAATGATGGTAATTTCTCCAAAAAATCGTTTTGCTCCAGATTTTTGGGGGGGTCCAGTCCCCCCCTGTCCCCCTCCCCGGATTTACGGCCCTGCTTGTACCAATGCAAGTGATAAATGCATAACACCAGACACCAAGCTTTTATCAATGTCATAGCTTCATTAATGGTCAAGCTTTAACGGCTAAGGGAGAAAAAATCTATTGGAAAAATCACTTGTTAGGTTTATTCAGGCTCTATTAAAAGACATTGTCAAATGCAGTGTGATGTTTTTCACTTAAAACTTGAGTTAAGGAATTTTGTATGCATCAGTCAACAAGTAATAAAGCTTTCCTTGTAAACAGGGCAGGGACTGTTTGATTTGTTAAATTATGATAAACCCTCAGATTAAAACCTACATTACACAAGTTTTATGACCTACCTTCCCTACAAATTGTATCCTGTGTTGTTGTGCAGTTAGCAACTTTAAATTCATTTATTCCACAGTAAGAGCATTTTCGACATTTTGTGTTCTCTTTGTTAGTAAAAGTTTCACCCTGTAACAGAACATGGGGGAAACATTTTTATAAATATTGAAGAAGGTTAGAAAAAATAAAAAGATGTTTTATATATTTATTTATCAATGTTTCGTTGCTTCAATCTTATCTGTGCTAGTTAGTGTTTTTAAAATTTCTGGATAAGCCCAAGGCCAAACCATGCTCACTGTAAGTTCAGGTAATTTTCAATTTATCATATCTTTTAACTAGAAGAAAATATATTACTGCTTTTTCATGATCAAATATTGCAGTTTCATGAGCAATATATATGGAGAAACTCACAAGTGCTTGTTGAGACTCACAAAAGTGGAAAGACTAAACAAACTAGGAAAAATACATGGAAGTGATGTGATAGAGACATTTTAGAAATCCAGAGAGATTTGCTGTTTCTAGTACTTTGTTCAAAAGCCAAAACACAGTTGTGAGTTTTTTTTAATGCTGCCAAAAAACATCAGTGCTGTTTGGTGATCCAAAAGAGGAACTTTAGCTCTGATGTCAGAAAATGGTTTCCTGGTAACAAATTCAATAGACTCAATCATCAAAATTGTTAGCCACTTAAGATTGCAGCAGAAGCATAGACGTTTTCTATAGAAATTAAAGACGCCATGAGCAAAAACCTCTCAAACTTCACTACATTGTAAAGTTGCCTTAATAAAAAATTTTTGACAGAATAATTTCATCAAGATTGTAAAACAAAATACCTTGACACATTGCTGGCAAATTCTTTTGGTTGAGTGGGAGCAATCCTGCACAACTCCATAGCCTTCTTTGCAAGTACTGCACTTGGTACATGTTCGGAATAGGCTTCTATAATAATGTTCCTCTTTGCAAACACAAATAGTATCCGTAGTAGTAGTGCAGGGGAATTTCATCACCATTAGCTCAGAACATTCACTGCATCTGAAACAAGTGGAACAAAACTGTTTCGTAATTACCTAACTAAACCACCAAATAGAGGAAGTAAACCACTACAAAATCAGCCAGCTTGTTATAATCAAATTGCATAAAAGGAAGAAGAGAAAACATAATAAAAATCTAATTATAATATCTTCTTGTTATCATGATCAGGCATACATCTCCAGGATGGTAGCCCCTAACGCGGGGGGAAATATAACAGTATTCTAGCACAGAGGCAGATCCAGAGCAAATTTGAAGGAGGGGCAGTCGATAGTGGGGGCGCTGAAAAAATTTTAAAAATTGATGATGAAAGTACGCTGTATACAACAATTTCAGATCCACTTTCAGAAAAAAAAATTAATTTGAGGTAATCCTTGAAGCAAATTAACCTCTCGGTCTCAGAAATTTTTTCCCCTGATTCTCATTCTTCAAAAGGGATGCACAATTTTCAAAAAAGGGGTGCCAGACTTGATTCAACTCGTCGAGGGAGGGGCAACTGCCCCTAGTTGCCCCTAATATCTAGTTGCCCTCCCCTTAAATCTGCCACTGTTCTAGCACCTTAGAAAGGAGGGGTGCTAAACTCTTACATGCTTGTATGTGGCAAGGGATAGAAAAAAATTCAATTTCATTAAATTCAAAATCTACTTATGGTTTCAAACAGCAGATATACAGATAAGATGTGATAAACTGTTTTTGAATCAATCAATTTGCCATCCTCTTAGAGATTTTTTTGGTGGCAATTAGAAGTTTAACTAACAACTCTATAACTCATTACCTATAACAACCAGTGTTTTTATTCTGTTCTTCATAGAAGTGCTGATATGGGCATTCCTGGCAGCTGGAAACATTTCCATTATTGCAATGGCTTGTGACATGTGTACCTGCAGGGCAATATCTGCAGCACTGAAATGTGTTGTCAGCCAATTGGTGAATATACAGATTCGGCGGGCAACTTGGGGTTATAACTGAATGCGTTTTAGATGCTAAGTATAATATCTGAAAGAGAGGAATTATGAAACTTGTTAACCATATTTAATTGGGTAGAGCATCATTGCAATCCATTCAACTCTGCAAAAAGTGATGCCCCATCTAACATGGCCTCCCAAATACCGTCAAATTTGGGAGGTCACATCAATGAAATGAACTCCCAAATAATGTCAAATAACGTTCACCTGGTTCCAAAGATGGTAAAAATGGCAAAAATGATATGGCAGCATAAATACATCTTTTTATCTAAATTATTCTTCTTGGTTTGGCTGTGCTTAATGTTATGTCTTTAATTTATTTTATTGAATGGGTGTTTCTTAAGAATTTTTTACACTTGTAGGTTACCACGCCTAAGAAATTAGGAAATCGAAATTGGTAATCAAACTTAATTAAAACATATAAATCACATATAAGAAGGAATCATTTAAAAGTAAACAAATACCAAATCATTATGACAGCCGCTTAAGTGATCAGAGTGAAGACCGGAGTCAAAACAGATGGTTTTCTGATTCTGACAAGATTTTACAGGTACTAGCGACAAATTTAAGATTTTTACAGGCTTTTTTGCATATCAACTAAAAAAGATTATGGACTCATCCAGCTCCGGTACCCCTCTTTGTCCAGACAATAGACTATTGTTAAACTTTTACAGTAACTAAGATCCGTCCTCTGCAGGTGAAGTCTCAATAACTGGGACTCTCAACAAAGGCATGCACGGAGTCGTGAAATATAATATATCATTCATTTGACAAGAACGAGTTTCTTTCATTCCTAGAAATGGTATTGTTGGGGAGTCTAAGGTAGTGGCAGGGATCGGGATAACCGCCAAGCACCAGGATTTACAAGAAAACCAGTCGCTTAATCATCTTGCGGATAACATAGGAAACAAATCATTTTCAATGATCGAAATAACAACAATCAGGATTTGATTTTAATGTGCAAAGCCGCGTGAAATATAAGATGATGAACGAGGCCTATTAAAGCAAGAAATTTGTGACGTGGTTAATTGGTTCTTAAATTGGACATAAAAATTTGTGGTGTAACAGTCGATAAACTGGCTCTAAAGCAGTTCCGCTCGCTAACCATAGCTTACAGCACTTAAATATGAGCCAAGGGCATTCAGCCGTTATAAATCATGCTTGCTGCAGCATTAACCAGCTGAAAAGATCCATCACCATAACAAGATTGGCACGTTCCTGAGCGAGGTCATACGATGCCAATTAAATAAATGCTACAAGAGAATGGAAATTCCCCAATGTGGGTTTTCAAATGTGGAAAAACATAAAAGCAGGATTGTGACTGAAAAGCAGAAAGCTCGGGAAAGTAGGAGGTACATATTATGACGATGATGATGATTGACCATGTACTTTTTGCGACTTTGCACTATGCACATCGCGGAAAGCCCGAGGTAGAGAAAATTATAATATAACATTTGCCTAGGTACTTTCTGTGCCTTTCCACGAAGCACACCTAGGAGTGCCCCGAAGTTGAGAGAACGAAAATGATGATGATACTTGACAGGAAGTACAGTGAAATGAAATAGTTTCGTGGAAAGACGCCCCCTGTCTAACCAGGGCAATTAATACCAGTTCGTAGTTAAAAGGGATATGGGTATACACGCTTTTAAACAAGCAACGAGCAAATTGCTTAGGCATCGAGTTACTCAAGGGCTCAGGAATGAAGCTGCAAGTAACTTAAAAAAGGGATTCCGGCGTAAGTGGAGGAGGAAGGTGCAAGTAAAAAATTCAGGCGCATCAAATATAATGTACTTATAATTCTTGCTACACCAGGTATGACGAGGGGCAAGCCCGAATCTCCGTTCTCAGAGAACCTGGACAAATTAAGAAACACATCTCAAACGTCACTGATTTAATCATCTAGCACGTCTCGTAAAAATATTTTGACATTCCATTTCGTAAATAGTGAGGGAAATGAGACTTGTGCAAATTGTGATACAAGCATCAAAATTTCAGAAAATACTAAGTTTGATGCGCTGAACAACATGTGATGTAGACCCAAATCATCTCTTGCCCCTAAGATCTATTTTTAGACTAGAGTTCTTCGGTCAAGGTCCCTAATTGTACCATTGGTCATAAATGGAGAACGCCAGGTCGAAGAAAGTTGAAATTCACAATACAAAGGCAGTTTGATACGTTGAAAAAGATGTGACATCAAATACCGTGAATTTCAACTTCTATGACCTGGTGTTCTCCATTTATGGTCAATTGTACAATTAGGGGTGTGGACGAAAGTACCCCAGTCTAAAAATAGAAATTAGGGGCAAGATGTGATTTGGGTCTATGTCACATGTTGTTCAGCGAATCAAACTTGACGCTCTCTGAAATCTTGGTGCCTGCACCACAATTTCCACAATTCTGCTGTATTTCTGCACTAATCTCCTGCACTAAAAAGAAGACCACTTACTGAATTAAAAGCCTAAAATTCCCAGAACTTAGTTTCTTATAAAAGAATGCGTGTGGTCCAGCAGCTAAGAGCTTGGTGGTATCGTCAGTGCTACCGTTGCCACGTCATGAGAGGGCAATAGAAGATCGCCAGCGACATAAAATCATATATTTTATATCTGCTAGTATTATTTTTCTAGACTTCCCTAGTAGTGTTGCTATTCAAAACAACCCTGATTCAACGACACTCGCCTTTATTCACTTTACCCATTTTACCATAGGTACTGGGCACTGTGTCAGAATCAAAATGGCCAAAAGGAAAAAACCACACAATGACAGCATTGTCGACCCGAATTTTTAGCTGTCTTGTAACGAATTCATCTACATAAAAGCCTGCTTCGAAAGTGTTGCCCGCCTTCGTAAATGCGCGTAAAGTGTGCATCCACATGTATGGAAAAGCTCTTTCAGAAAGCTGTGCTGATAGTTGGCGTGACAGAATGGAAGCACCAGTTTACTTTCTGCCTTTTCAACCTTTCGGTAGGACATCAATTTGCAAGGCACAGCTTAGTAGCTTCCTTAACTATTTAAGTTAATATAGAATTCAAGAGAACGGAAGTGCTCTTGAGTATGGTATTAATATGATACTAATATGGCATTAGCCACATGACAAAGCAACTATTAAGCCACATAACAAGCTTGAAAAACAAATCAATCAATTGGTCAAGGACAGCTGCAGCTGCAATGAATTTTATTCTAGAAATATCTATCGTCAAAATGCATTATTGGCATGATATCATTACTTACGAAATAGCTGACAGTTTAATATTTTGATAAGATCAAGCCTAGATCTTCTAGTACAGGTAGTTCGAATATCTGATGATTTTTGACAAGAAACAGAAATAGAGGCTTTCGGATGTTTCGTGGCATCGTTTGAACTAACGGGGCCAAACCCCCTCGGATACAATACCCTTGTATACTTTCCCCCATAGCACAAAATAACGGAGAACCAATTCTCCTCGTTAAAAACCCTTCTGGAGGCGTGTTTGGGCTACCTCAGGCTTGGCAGTTTGCACGGGCATAATTGAAACGCAATTCCCTTTAAACTTTTAAGCTTATCTTCGTAGACTATCTTCGTAGCCTAGAAGACAGATTGTAACTTTCGTCTTCAACTTGAAATCTGTTTGTTTATCTTGTTTTAAATAAATGCAGCTTCTTGTGGAAGGGAGAAGTTTAATAAACTTTTATTGAAACCTTACCACGGATAAAACTGCTGTTCTCGTAGAAATGTGCATTCTGTAAAATTCATCTAAAACCTACGAACAAAAAGAAACTTGTTATTTCTTTAGCTTCTTACTTCCACCGTAAATTCACAACCCTTACAATTAAAACAATTAAAAACAAGCTTTGCATTATTCAGTATCCACGTTATCGATAAGCTGACAGTTATCACAATCTCTATGACTATTTTGGCCAATAATACTCTTGCAAACCAGTATTTGTTCAATGTTCAAAAATACCGAGAAACGACTTTTCCAACTTTCCATCATTGAGTGGCATCCCAATTGGAGCTATTCATTTGTCCCAAAAAGCTTTTGTTTAGAGATCAGTGGTGTTTCCATACCTTTGAGAATCCTTCTAAAGGACTAGATGAGGCAGTTCGTTCATGACTAAACGAGGTTGTAAGTTCATGACTAAACGAGGCTGTCCAATTCCTTCAACTACTAAGAAGATGACTAGCGCGAAAGCATAGGCATAGAAAATTTTGCAGAATGAAAAAGACAGTATAGAAGAACTGCTTGAGAGACCTCCAAAGAATACTTGCGGTGAAGATGATTTCGAAAAGGAAACATGAAACAACGCAATGTGAAAAGATAATAACGAAAACTTCAATAAAAATGAATTATTTACTGACTTTGGCACAGACATACAGGGCGTGCTTGGAGTTATATTTCTTAACAGAAAAAGTAGCACAGATAATTTGAACCTGCCTTGTGGAAAGGTAGGATTTCAGACCAAATCATAGACTAAGGTTTGCTTGGTTAAAGATACTGATAACTATAAAATGCAGAAGCCAGAACTTCTGAGTAAATTTTGAAGCAAATTGACTAAGTAATGTCTCATGCACCATTTCTAATGTCATCAAAAGGCTGACAGGCTGACTACCGTGATTGCTAGATCTCTATTCTGCGTGGTCCGCATAATACACTAGAAACGCATCTATGGAAAAAGCATCTGGACGATTATTACATTAATCAAATGATATAAAAAATAACGAATATCAAATGAACGAATATTTCAAAGCATTGAACGCTTTAATGCACAAAAAACGATTATTAATGTAAAATATTTCAAATTTGAAAATTTTTTAGTCAATTTGAGACAAAATTATAACTTTCAAAAACGGCTGTCGGCATAGAAACAAAGTTTGTCCCGCAAACCCAGAAAAGCAAACCACTGTGGCTGAAAGTTTTCCCAGGAAAATGTAAATGATAGCGAAAAATAGCTAAACAGAAACCTGAAGTAATACATTTGTATACCCACATCATCATTAAATCATAAAATTAAATTATTTTACCAAATTATCACTGTTCCATTATCATAATAAATTAAGTCTTGCTTCAATATAGACACATTAATCAAGTTTTCGTTTGCATGTTAAGACTTCTGGCTAAAAAATAAGCTCATTCCCAAAATAGCAGTTAATATTTCACGAAGAGAAATAAAAGATTATTATACCGTCAAAATGGTTAGCAAGACAATTTGATTCCCAGAACAAAGAAGAAAATTTCAGAATTCGTTTGTTCGTGAAGATCAATGCAAACTTACCCTGGGCGATTTTAACAAGGACAATCAACAAAGAGATGTCAAAAAACTCTACAGATGTCGAATTTCCACGGCGCTCGATTGCTCATATATTCCCTAAACAGGCAGTTTTACATCGGCAGTCTTTTAACAAATAACATCCAGACATTAGGTCATCTAAATACTTACAACAGCCAAGCTGTGCTAACCTGTGATCAAAGACTAAAACCTCGTAATCCAAACAACCTCCTTATCAACACACCATATTGTAGTTAGCCATTTATCACACAAACCAACTGGTCCAGCCATTGAAATTCAAATTACATTGTATTTAGATGAACTTGAATTTCTGAATAACTGTTCGTTTTTGCTTTAGCTCCATGGCTTCTTATCATATTAAAGTGATTAAATGACAGATTAGTTAAAGTGCAAATTTCTACAGGATTTCCTGCTATCAAGACATTGTCACTTGTTTCATGGCTTTACCCTTCATAAGACACTTTAGTTCAAGGCATCGATAAAATGGTTTTTTGTGACAAAAAGTGACGAAACTGTTTCTGGTTTTCAACGTTTATTTGAAAACATATGATTTCGACGAATGCCCCTTACGGAAAATCGCTAGGTTTGAAAATTGTGACGTCAGTAATGATGATTACTGTTTACCAGTCTCTTTTACACTGCTCGATGCCGTTTCTATTGATGTCATTATATCTATAGAAAACTGGTGTGTTAGAATGAACTACGATATCCTCCTTTAAGGAGTCAGAAAGTTATTCTCCGTAAAAACAAACTGAATAAAAAGAAAAAAGGAAAGAAATTTTGTGGCAGTGTTGGGGTGACTCGTAACAGTGGCCTAAATAAAATGGTCTAAGTTTAGATAAATGGAGACATGTGAAATAGTTATTCACTTATTCTCTATTCAAGACACCCCTTTTAAGACGTTTAAACAAAAATCTATTTTTGGTAACAAACTTTTGATGTTGCGTTATCAAACTTTTGATAAATAATTTGATTTTTCAAACTGCTAGATCAAATTTTTCACACGAAACAGAATTTTTTTGGTAGTTCAGAATTGTTATTTGTAAAGATATTTTGGGTTCCTGTGGTAAGTGTTATGATTTTCATTACCTGTTTACTCGACGAGTGCTAAATGAGGCTTAAATAGCGATGGGAGATTGTAAATTAGGTAAAAACAAATTTTCGTGTTATGGAACACGATAAGAAACTTTCTGTACCAAAATGCGGCAAAAAGTTAAGCAACTCATGTACCAAGATTTTAACGGTTCATTATCAAGCAAATAGGTGTACTAAAATTCAAAAAGTTATAATTACGCTGTAACCATATTTTTAAAAAATAAAACCATAGGGATTATATTTATTCTTGAAAATTAATTCATCGTATCAGAAATAACCCAATCAAATGAATTGCTAGTGACACGAAAATATTGTAATATCAATAAAGACGTTAATATTTGCCGGAACTTTGCAAGCTGCTCGACGATAAGCAATTTGACACAACAAACGTCCTTTTCGTGCAAAAGTTTGTTTGATAAAACCAACAACAGTATTCTAGCAGTTTGTGGGCTGAAGTTGAAAGGAACAGTTAAAGAGGGATAGGAACAAGCTGATGAATTATCAAAGGGTTATGAGAGCAATCAGAGACTTCTCTCAAAGTAAACATTCCCTAATTGAGAATGTCCTTGATGAAGAAAATTCCCCACTTTCAAGAGCAAAATCGATTAATGTGGAACTTGCCTTTAAAGCCCATATGAAAAAGAGTCGACAATTCATTGCGAAATAACGAAGATACAATGTATGGCTGAAGACGAGCACATGACATGCACTGCCCATATAGATATGCTGTTACATGTTAATAAAAACTCAATCTATATCTGGATAATACCTTGTTTACCACAACGATACTTAAGTTCTGCTATCATTCTGCCTCTTTGCTAGTAATACGAGATATAATTGGTTCATCTCAATCCAATATGATTACACTTGCGTTCGAGTTAGGCCACAGTCAAAAGAGCTTAAGAATAATCGCTCTCCGGTGGGTGATTTTCGTATAAAACACCGATAGAAAGCAAAACACAATATAATTCTTGTGCGTACACTAAACTCCAATGAATTGAATCAGTTTAGAATAAAACACTGGGATGAGGCAAACTTTCCGAGTTGGTTTGCAGTTTGGTCTAGTCTCAGTTGCTGTCATGAAACTTGGAAAGGTCTTTCAAAACCACAGTCGCAATATTTTGGTTGTTTAAAACCAAATTCAGACGTAACACAAATGTATTGTTTCACACAAAACCCAAAGTCACCTGTGCAACCTTAAATTTCACCAGCCTGCAGGCAATGGGTACATACATTTTGGTGAAAATACACCAACTTTTTGTAAGAGCCAGTAAATGAAGTTCAGGCTGGCTGTTCCTATTTTTTCCAACATTTTTCGTAGCAATCCCTCAGCCTCCTCGTTTTTTTTAATTTTTTCTTAACTTTTGACCAGTTTTGAGGCTCATGTAGTTATAAAATTGTTCTTATTAAAGTAATGTTAGTAAAAATTATGTTAGTAAAAAGTAATGTTAGTAAAAAATAATGTAATGTTAGGATTGAAAATTAATCCAAAAGGTAAATTCTAGGTTAATAAAATGCTTTGTACCATATCATGAACTTGCCTTTGGTTTAAGCCTCGAACAAAATTCATTCAATAGGACAACTTCAAAATTTTAATCTTTAAACCGTGGCTGTACTTGATTCTATCCTATTTAAGTTTACTTCATTTCAAGTACACATAATCGTGGTTGTAAACTAGGTGAACAATTTTCATTGTTGGCTTAATGGAACCATTTTTATGTATCGCTCTGCAAAGCAGCCCTATCGAGTGTATTTGAAGTGCTAAGCCTAACTGCTAAGCCTAACTAACAAAAAGTGCCACGGTTAGATGTTTTCAAAACGCAATACAAAATCTGTCATGTCACAAACCTGTACACTCATTTTTTTATAAGAAACAAAGGTCGATGTTGAGTACTCCAGTTTCTTAATGTTCTGCAAATTTCAATACTCATTGTTTCTTATGAGTTTCTTAATTATGATGTTATGAGTGATCTTATGAAATGTTCGTGACCTTTTTTTTACGTCAAGAGATTCGCTTACATTCTGACGCTTTTTTTGGTGTGGGAAGTATATTTTATCCCTTGTGTCTTAAATTCTAGGTCAACAGGGCAATTATGTTCTTGGATCTTGGAAAATTTCGTCGTTCTCAGTTTTATCACGATTTGATATCTTTTTAATCTTTTTGCTTCGAGTACTGGAGTTTTTTAATTTTCTCTGACTGTCTAGTACTAGTTTCTTATAGCCAGTTTCTTATAAAAAATGAGCCTATTAGACCTAAATATGAAGCTAAGTCTCGACCTCGTTTGGAGAAAGATGTGCAAACATAGCAGCCCTGTTAACAGAAAAGTATATTCCATCACGATTTAAATCCTTCCCACGAAAATGAAATGTTTAATTA